TGAACACGAAATGTCTATGGACGTAGAGAACGCAAAAGTAAGCACGTATAAATATTTTTACTGAACCATTCCGTAAAATGAAAGCCATAATGAAACAATTGTGTTGGAAAATATGAACATAAAGATTATTTTTAGGAACAAGACACAGAAAAGAAAGAGAGCAAGTCCCCGAACCTACAGGCGCTGGTGGACGCCATCGGCAGCAGGATGCGGGACATCGAGAACGTGGTGCAGAGGATGAGCCAGAAGGTGCACAGGAACAAGCCGCAGTCCGACATAGGCAATAGCATGAACAGTATCGAGAGGAGGTAAGCTGTACTTAAGTAAGAAACTAGAGTAACCAGCATTGGACCTAATGGAAAGACTATACTGTTAGTTTAAAAATGTAAAATAAGATCTTATTGTAGCTGCTTTGAATTAATATTTAATTTTAATGTTACCTTAAAAATTTCAGGTCTGAAGATATACAAACTCGTAAAGGCTTAAGTCAAGACATTAAAGAGCACGACCACGAAATCGTCCTTTCTAAAAATCAGTATTCAAACAGCGAATCTTTTAAACGGTATGTGTGCGTTTTATTAATAGTTAATTATACGTTATTAGTAAGTAAATTAGAAATTGAGAGAGGAAAGAAAAAATTTAATACCATGTCGGTCCTTGAATACACAATACATAACATCCACCTAACCTAACACATGTGTTAGGTTAGGTTGTTTTAAAAGTACCCTCTGACATGACGATCAACAGACAAGCTTTACAATAATACTAATATACTATTTGTAATACTGTTGTGTATGAATTCTTTTTAGTTTCAAATCTCCGTCTATTTATAACAGAGTCAAACATATGCACGGCACAACAGAGCCCAATAGCGATGTGCCCTTGTACGTAGAGGATACCAACTTAAACGGATACTTCAGTGACGTCAGCAACAGTATACTGCGGAGAGTCGGACTGCCTAAAGTAAGTTATAATTATACTGTATTCAAAATAGGTTAAGAACAGGTAGCGTGCCCATTTGCACATTCAAATGCCAAGGACCCTGTTGGTCAAATGCCCAGAACGATGGTAAGCAAACGCTCAGGGCGCTGTGGGGCAAATTCCCTGAGCGCTGTTGAGTAACCACCCAGGCCGCTGGACAAAAAAGGACACAGGTCTGTGAATCATAGTTCCACATAATACTGTTTACTCCCCACCCCCAAAAGTGCTTAAAACTGGGGCGCCCTTAAAATCTCGCAAAGGGCTCATGTAAGCGGTTAAACTGGTTTTATACTATTTTATTTTAAAGGATTCTATTTCCTTTTAAAGGAACCTATCGCAACATACATGGCTCCAGTTGAAAATCGGGTAAAACCTCAAGTTCATACAATAGTCGTCAGTTCAGGAGAAATAGAGAAGTCAAAGAAGAAGAAGCGAACTCACAAAAAGAAGAAAGTAAATAAAATCCACAAGAAACATCACTTGAAAGAAGAAAAGAAAAAACATTTCAACAGAAAGAAATCGTCTGAAATAGAGAAGAATGTTGTATCACTTGAAGATAGCAGTTCTGTTACTTCTTAATTGTAGATTTTTATATGTTTATGTATATTATGTACATGTGTATAATATGTAATATATTTGAACAAATCCTTTGATAACTTGTTCACTTTTAAGTAAAAGTACATAAAAAATGAAATCTTTACACTAGCTTTCACTACGTATAAACCTAGAAAAATAAATTGTTATCTTCGGTTTTCCTTTAAAAAAAGAGACGACTGTTTTTGTAAGGTTGTAACATCAGTGAATACCAAGTTAAGAGTACATAGACAAGCAGGATGTTTTTATGGTAACATGCTTGACCAGAGACAACTAATTTAACTTTGATAAAGTGAAAAGAATAAAATATGCATTTATATCTATTTTAATGATTTGAATGATTCAGGTACAATGTTCATACACTGCACAAAAAAAACACATTACATAAAACTAAATAACAATAATGCTATTCATGAAAATGTTTTCTATTATTAAATAAAACAGGGATTGAAATAAAAATAAATGAAAACATTCATTACTTTAACAGATAATTTATATTGGATATTGCCAACATTAAAAATAATAAAATATTTACAACCTTCTTGCCAGCATAAAAACTAATTTAAAATATAACTGGCAACACTAAGGAATACTTATAATTGTTTTTTTCAATTAACTAAAAATACAATCCAAAATCTTCAAACAGTAATAAAATGGTATTTGCCATCAACCAATATTCTTTTAATACTTAAGTATTAGACAGAAATTTAACCTTTTCATAAATATATTTCACATACATACTTCATATATTTACTTACAACACTAGATTAAAACTTATACAGCAGAAATTAAATATTTGCATTGCTTATGTATATTCAATTGTACTTGTAGTATGCAGCTATAACAAAGATTTTTCCCTTTCAAGTTTGTGTTGTCTACTGCTGATTTTCTATGACAAGCTTATCTGTGCTATACATTTCTCCAATAATAACCTGGAAGAAAATATTTAAAAAGTGAAACATTAAAATCTATTTTTAATAATTTCTTGATTTTATAATATTGTTTATGGCAATGATCTCCATAACTTATACAAAACACTGAAATAATATCACATACTAATATAATAAAGCGTAAACTCACACTTATAACTTAGTTACATAGGATATCAGAAATCACAGTATATTTTTTAATAAAAACCCTACACATACAACATACTTTAGGGTATATATTTTGATACTATAAACTTAGGGATTAAATATTTTGGAAAAAAAAACATCAGGGAAAGGGACAAAATCTACAAACTTACATCAAGAAAACGAAGTTGCCATGGTAACGGTAATTGTTACTCAATTTCAAAGAGCATTATTATTTGTGCATTTGAATTTTGACATTTGTAATTGAAAATTTCACAAATGTGAACAATAAAATAAAGTTATTAAAACTTTCGTGAGACATTATACTACATAAATTATAACACGGCTAAACTTATGTGATAACAGTGACCGTCGCAACGCGATAGCGAGTATACCCGATTAATCACTCATCCTGAAGAAGGACCCCCAACGGGTTCGTAACTGTCGGTGCCTACACCGAATGTTATCACGTGAGTTTAGCCGTGTTATAATTTATGTAATAAAATAAAGTTTTTAAGATTTCATGCGGAATAAGCCACATGGGAACAGCTCATCTAGTATAACTGTGAGTAAACAATGCAAAAACTTAAAAGGATTTATAAATACACCTGAATATTAATCTTATAACTATATAAGCATCAGATACCTGCATGCATATACTTGAATCAAATAAAATACTAAAAACCTTCCAAGATGCTATTGATTATTACTGATATATATACTTAAAGTAACTAAACATAGTAAATGCAAAAATGAATACCTGTCGTTTGATGATTTCCAAGTTATCCTTTGCAAAGTCATATTCTGTTTTTATTAACTTATGATCTTGAAGTGATTTGTGCTCTTTGAAGGCATCTCTTACTCTTCGCAATGCGTATGATCTGAAATATAGGGAATTCTAACAATGTATTAACCATAAAAAGAAATACAATAATATTTATCCAATCTTATCATTCACTGGAGAGTAATTTTAGGTTATGTAATTTTTCGTACTTGTGCAACACTTACCTAAAGTTGTAATTACTAAATTTTTGAGATTCTCTTAGTAAAGACTTATAAATTGCTAGAATATGAGTTTTTGAAATATTTGATGCCATCTTAAATATTATTTACAAGATGATGTTTATGCAGCAGACCCAGATTAGAGATACCTTATCAATGTCAAAAACAAATGTCAATTGTCATTGTCAATATGACTTCTGTCCTTTATGTCATCTTTCATGACAACCACAGATAATCCTTTATTTATCACTAGCTTTTATCTACGACTCTGTACTGTACATGTAAAATTAAAAAAAAAACAGAAGCAACTAGGTTATGGTGTTTTCCTACTGATGTTCTCGTACTTATCATACTTTCCTCTGCAACTATTCCTTTCACAGAGATCTGTTCAGCAGATTACGAGGCTGCAAACTAACAAACATTCAGCTTCTCCTATCTTGAAAACAAAACCACTTAACATCATCTCTCCTACATTATCCTACTTCCATAAGGTCGGGGCACCGGGTTTTCATCTCCAAATAACTTTATCATCCGTTATCTCAGTCATCAGTCCAGAAAACAAAATCAAACTATTTGCTATTTTTTTTAATCGAATTCCAAAATTAAAAAATGCCGATATTCTCCCGTGCCGTTGCCGCTCCCTATAGTAAATGTCGCTTTTAAAATGACATTGTTAGTTCACAAAAACCTGCAAAAACGACTTATAAGATGATGAGACTTACGCGCCACCAACTACGCCACCGAGGCTGCGAGTAACGTGATGTTTTAAAAATGATTCCATAAACAATTTAAGAACACTATGAAATATTTATGGTAATAAAAATAATACCTACCTACAATAAGTTAAATGATAAAGATCACATCTCATTAAAAGTTCTGGCGTCGATTATTACAAATTATAGGTATTCGAAAAAAGTATGTTATTAAAGATTTATTATTGTGTGTTATATTGTGATTTTAAAAAATGTTTTCACTTGGTGGTGCTTTTGTAATGAAGACTGACAACGGAACATTTAAAAGGCATAACGAAACGAGACTTAATTGGTGAGGGTTTTCATTAGTCGCAAGACTTTTAATTTAAAAACCTAAATGACAATAATTAAAAAATTGGTTGGTATTATTAAGTAGTAATATTATGTAATTTATTTCTTATGCATGTAAATATTGTATATCTAGTAATAGTAAAACATATACAATGTTTTATTATTTTCGTTTATCAAACTTTAATAAAATTTTTATCACTACATAAAGGCCGGTAAACGATGGATTTAAAAAAAATGTTGAGATGAAAAAAAATTGGAAAACATTATTGTGATTAAATTTAAATTTGATACCAGAGGAGTTGTTATTGTTTATCGTTGCCATTTATCGTAGCAGTTCTTTTAACAGAAACTGGACATAGACATAGGATCTGCTACGAAGAATAATTATCTTTTTTTTATTAGATTCTATTAAAAACTCTAGATTACGTATGATTTCTACTTAAACTTCGACTTTTGTAGATGTAGTATATTCAAGTTCCTTCTTGTACTAGAGGTATTAAAGAATTTTTATAATATACGTGTAAAATAAGTAAATGACATATCGGAGTTACAGCTCTGTAGATATAAGTTACCGTCCAAACTATTCACAAAGAAATCTTGTTGTATTCAACGGCAACATACGTATAAAGAGCTCGTTTACATAAAAAACCCATTCTGCTAACATATACCGCAGTTACGCCGAGTGGAATCGACGGTCGCCCACTAAATTAACCATCCCGATATCGTTCTGGGGCTTTTAGTGGAAATTTGAAACTATTAGTACATTACGTATCGTGTACAATGAACGTGATTTATTAAGTAAATAGATATTTTTTTAATTTCAGGGTCTTATACAAAACGATTTTTCAGTTCTGTAGCTCCTATGTTGGTAAGTTTTTGAGATTATTACTTTTGATATTCCGTGTGTCTTTTCGCTGAATGTATTAAAAAAAAATCAAAGCTCTCACAATTTTTTTTAGAATAACCTTGATTTTTTGTCGATGTTTTCGGCAGTGTATACTTTTAATGTCATAGTATTGACCAAGTGACAAAGTATCCATAAAGACACTCTTGTTGAGAATGTTTCGATTCCGAGAATTTATACCTACAAGAATAATTTACAATATCTAATCATTTCGAATTAATGTTATTAGTTTCGTAAATTGCAATTGGTACATCTACTTGAGAAGTTTGGAGATTTGTGTACCTAAGTAAACGTCTACTAAACATCATAATTTTATTCAGCATCAACAAACAAATGCCCTCTCAGCCCGAAACAAATCGTCTGAAAATCTTTATGATACATTAAGCAAATTACGACAGCAAATGTAATCCCAACGAATATGTTAGACATCCCACCAACAATGAAATGAGACTAATTTAGATAAAAGCCTGCGGAACGCGGCCAAAGTGGTCGTAACAATAAAAGAGGTAATAAATATGCGCCAGCGCCATCTATACGATACCACCTCATGTTACATTCATGAGAGTTTATAATAGGTGGCGGTAGTGGTGATCTAATTTTAGAATTAAAAGTCCTTTTTCTGTTACTTTTGAAATTAATAATGATGACACTGAAACAACAATTTTAACGTGTTTATGGTTAATTAAAGATGTTTCGGAAAATGGTATTCTTAAGTTTAGCGCCCTTGATGTTATGGAAAACTCAGACGGCTAAACCTAGGTAATATAAATATTACACTTTTATCTTTTCGATAACTTGTGTCGAATTCGTTACGAAAGTACAAACGTATATTTTATTTGAATGAAATCCTGAAATTGATTTAATTTACCCATCAAAAGGTCAATAGTATCGCACCGCTCAATCTGTCTGTATTTCGGCAAAGTGCTCGTGATTCGTAAACTAAGCAGGCAGCGAGCAAACTGCGTAAATTGTTGGTTGAACGGAACAATGCGGTGTTGCTACACCTCGGCAAACGCGCCGGGGGCACAATCACCCGGGCGCTGGTAACACCACGTGAGAATTGTAAGGATATTCTCATATACAACCTTGAAGTTAAAACAGTCAATTTTAGTTGCCAATTCTTATAACTTACTTTCTTAAAACTATCTTCGAAATCATAATGTAACAAAATGGAGGTTACCTTTTCCATATTGTGTTATTGATTTTGGACTATAGTTAATTATAGTGGATTCTCGAGAAGAATTGCAAAGAAGTTCATTTTTGATTTTCATTATTATTTATCTTTTAATGCTTCGCTATTTTACTGACTTTTACATTTAAATATTAATAATAAAAACTTAATG